TAAGAAGGTTGTCTTCACATCAAGCTGTTCAATCTCAAGATTCAAGCTGGCCGCTCTTGCAAGCACAACTCGGATTAAAGACATCTTTACAACAGGAGAGAATATCTCATCAAAGTCTACGCCCTTTCTCGGATTGAATCCCTTCACATTCAATATGGCTTTGTACCTCGGTTGTGAGCTGTTCTCAATTGTTTTTAGTCTAAACACCCATTTATTCTTGAATGCTCTCTTGCCCTTAGGCAGCTTCACCAGGTCATACGTGTTATTCTCATGCAAGGATTTGATCTCATCTTGCATGGCTGCTAACCGCTGATCCTTCTGCTCATGACTAAGAACCTCTTCATACGACTCTGGCTCTCCCCCATCAGTAAGCAACAAATACTCATGAGCACTGTACCTGGTGGAAGGTCTCTTGTCTCTGGTGGACCTCCTAGGCTGAACAGGAGGTGATAAAACCGGTGGTGTCTCTGTTGCATTAGCAGGATCATCATCAAACTCACCATCCTTCTCTGTCTCAGCTCCCCCTTCAGGAGAATCATCTGATTGTGGAGGAACTGGATCTAGATCAACAGGAATCTCAAGTGAAGATTCTGGCATCTCGCCTTTTCCCATATCATCAATGGTTTGGTCTTTAAAGAAGATCACATCTCTGCTTCTGAAAACTTTCTTCTCTATAGGATCCCAAAGTCTGTACCCAAATTCATCATTTCCATACCCCAAGAATACACACTACTTGGATTTTCCATCAAGCTTCGTCCTTTTATCTTTTGGAATATGAACCAAGGCACGGCAACCAAAAACTCGCAAATGCCTAAATGAGACATCTTTTCCTGTCCAAACTCGTTGTGGTAGATCACCATCCAACGGAACTGAGGGAGATAGGTTGATCAAATCAACTGCTGTCTGCATGGCTTCACCCGAAAAGGATTTAGGCAGCTTTGCATTCGAGAGCATATACCTAACCTTTTCGGTAATAGTTATATTCATTCTTTCTGCCACGCCATTCTGCTGCAGAGTCTTCGGAACACTCTTCTGAAGTTCAATGCCATGGTTTCGGCAATACTTCTCAAATGGACCCCTGTACTCACCACCATTATCTGCTCGAACACACTTCAACTTCTTGCAAGTCTCTCGTTCAACTCTAAGGTGAAAATCTTTGAACACATCTTATACCTGATCTTTAGATTTCAAAGAAAAACACCGAACCTTTCGAGCATAATCATCAATGAAAGTAACAAAGTACAATGCTCCACCCAACGACCTATCCTTTATATAACATACATCTGTATGAACTAACTCTAGAGGACTGGACTTTCTAGATGGAGGAGAATTTTGAAACGAAACCCTATGTTGTTTACCATAGATACAGCCAACACAAGGTTTTAGAGCAGTACCTTTCACCTCTGGGAGAAATTGCTTCTTACCAAGAATTTGCAACCCCTTAACACTCATGTGTCCAAGCCTTCTGTGCCAGAGATCAATGGAGGCATTGTGAGTCGCATTCACCTCTCCATTCTTCAACTTTGCATTCAACACATACAAAGAGTTCAACTTCTTTCCTCGAGCAATAACAAGATTCCCTCTGGTAATTGTCCACCGGCCACCACCTTCAGTGCTATGATAACCCTCATCATCAAGTTTACCAACGGAAATAAGGTTCAGAAGCATATCCGGAACATGTCTGACATTCTTCAAGACAAGAGTACAACCTTCGTTACCAATGATACCTCTCCGATGTCGACAACATCGCATGAGCTTGGTTGCCCATTCTTACACGACCAAAATCTCCAGGTGTGTAAGAGGTAAAGAAGTGTCTGTGAGGCGTCACATGATAAGACGCATCTGAATCACCGAACCAATCACTGTCGTGACTCGCAACATTAATTGTATCATCATCACAGTACACAAATACATCACTGGTAGTTACTACAGCAGTAGTGTCATCATCACTTGATTCATCCTTCTTGCCTTTACCTTTTCTCGCTGCTAGTTCTCTCTTGAGAACCCTGCACTCCCTCTTAAAGTGCTCATTTCCTTGACAATGGTAGCACACGACGTCTTTCTTGGATTTAGACCGTCCCCTGGACTTGTCATTCCGATCACGTGGCCCTCTACTTTTACTTCTTCCTCTTCTATCTGACTTTTCTGTCACCAAAGCCTGCGACTCAGACTCAATAGTTTGCTCTTTTCTTCTGACTTCTTCATTCATGAAAGCCTCTTTGACCTGATCCAAGGACACCATCCTGGGTTGAATTACTGATTGACACTACCAAAGTGTCCCAACTGTCTGGAAGAGAACTAAACAATAACAAAGCCTGCACCTCATCATCCAACGTTAAACCTACATTCACAGCTTAGTTCAACAAACCCTGAAACGAACTCAAGTGCTCATTCATGCTAGCACCATCTTTGTACCTCAACCTGGTAATCTGTTTCAGCGCAGATGGCTTATTGATGTTGGACTTCTTCCAGTACATATTCTGGATTTTCTCCCAAAGTTCATCAGCTTTTGTTTCTCCCGAAAAGTGATGAAACACACTTTGATCAATCCACTGTCGAATATTACCAACAGTCTTCCTATGCATATCAGCCCACTTTTTATCAGTCATATCACTTGGCCTACCTTCATCCCCTAGAATAGGATCAAACAAATCTTTGTAATACAACAAGTCTTCCATTCTGGGCTTCTACATATGATAATTGGATGAAGTCAATTTAATCATCGTACCAGTACCCGATGACTCTTCCATTTTATTGGTGTAACACCGCAACTACCGAACCGTAGCTCTGATGCTACTGTTGTGGCGGAAAGGGTATAAACACAACAAACTACGGAAGCGAACCCCAAGAAAAAATCCTTTCCTACCACCAATAAAATACAACAACCAACCAAGCAACTAATTCAAGAACTGATAAAATAAAGGAGGCACAAGAATTTACGTGGAAACCCAAATCGGGAAAAACAGTCCAACTATCTCCACTATCACAATAAAGGAAAAACAGTCTTCACCAACCGGTGGATACACAGGACTTCACCCAAAGGTGGATTACAACAATACTCTTCCAAAACACCTATCACAGAGTAGGACTGGAAGGATCTAACCAAAAGAGAGTTAAACCGAAAACTAAACCCTAGCTTTCTTTCTTTTCTCTCGTACAAAAATAATGCATGGCTGCCCAAACTTTTCTTCTTTTCTTGGCTGAAAAACACACACACAAAAATTATGCCAAAGCCTTGTTTTTATAGAACAAAAAAACCTAAAAACAAAAACCCAATTGAAGTAGTTTTGTTTCCTAAAACCAAATTGATTTGATTTCAATCACTGCTGGGCCCAATTTGAGGGGAACTCGGGCCCAACACTAGCTATGATAAGCCCACCGAAGTGGCGAAGTTAATTTGCTTGCTGTTGCACTTAAAGTATGCACCTCTCGAACATGAGATCCCATTTCATTCTGATTAATTCCAGATATCATGTCATTTGATTTTAATTGTGATTAATCCAACATATCATACAATTTAATGGATCGTAAATCAATTAATGTGTAACTATATCTAATAATTGATTCATCGTGCACGATCTTCCCGCGAAATTAAAAACGCTTAATCGTCAATCACATTGTGCACTGATTGCGATTCATTCAACGATTTAGTTTGTACAGGGATTAATCAATTTGGTCACAAATTATTTTTTTAATATATATATATATATATGTATTTGTGAGCATATGTCGTTTGCATGTGTTTGCCTATTAAGAGAGATGTAATTACGTACTGAGAAGCCTCTTAAGTACTTCAATCATGGCGTATTGTAAACAAAACTCGAATTATTATTTCCGAAAACAAAAAATCGAATGATTATATGTCATCTCAAGATGGCAAGATTGGGGGAGGGGGTCAGTGTTACTTATATATGTTAAACTTAATCATGGAAAACAAAGGATTGTTTAAGATAATGAAGTACAAATTTGAAAATGCAACATGGCCTTCTTTTTTTTTTAGAACAGAGCGAAAATGAAATAAGAAAAGCTGAAAGCTATTAGCTAGGAAGATGGAGATTGGAGAGTAAGCAGAGCAAAAAAGAGATAAAATTACAATTACACTTTTATTAGAAAAGGATTATTATTGTTTAGTGCTGCTAGTAATATGGTTTGACCCAGCTAAGCTGCAAAAAGCACAGAGAGGTATGCACGACAAATGCACTTCTAATAAATCAACATACAATATAAGTTAAGTTTAGTTTCTAATATTTTTTATTAATTATGTGAAATATTTTTCGGGAGAGGAAGAGTACTTGTACACAGTACACTAAATCATAACAGGTTTTAAAGCAAATGAAAAAAAAAAAGTTTTGTTATTAAAATTAATGAAACCATAAATTAGTATGTAAATCTTTCTTAAAAGAAAAAAAGAAAAAAAAAAGGTAGTATGTAAATGGTTATTAGAGTATCATATAATGCTTTTCAGCCAGCCATCACAAATTCGTTGTTCTTTCCTATTACCCACATATCATTTAGACAGCGCATTTCCCGCAAGGAAATGTCCAGCACGGTCCAACCGATCGAATAATATGAATAAAAAAATTGCAAATATTAAGTATCTATCAGAAAGCCCATAAGAGATACTCCCTCCATCCCATAATTATTGTCCACTTTGCCCAAAAAATTTTGTCCCAAAATTATTGTCCAATTTGACTTGTTATGGATCAAGTTACACATTTGTCCTTATTAAAAACATTATCCATAAAATCTTAATGGTTAAACAATTACTTATGTAAGGGTATATCCGGTTGTTTAAGGTAAAATATAGTTAAGTTTGACTAAAAATAAAATCTTTCATTTTAGTAAAACTGGACAATAATTATGGGACAGAGAGAGTATATGCTTTGCCCCTCCAAACAATCATATTATTACACAGACTGACAGACTTATTGTGTGTGTGTGTGTGAGATTTATCATAAGATAGTACTAGCATATACTACTAGTACATAATATAATTAAGGATGGCTTTTGCGCCGTGCATCGATCCATCCGCCATTCCTGATGAGTTAATGATGGAGATTGAAGTAAACACTAAATTTGTTGCCGGCGATTCGTCCGTCAGGCTCACCTGGAAAGATGTTACTGTAATGGTTACCCTCAGCAATGATGGTGAAGCACAAAATGTACTGGAAGGACTCACTGGTTATGCCGAACCTGGTAACTTCACTGCCCTCATGGGTCCTTCGGGTTCCGGGAAATCCACCCTTCTCGACGCCCTTTCTGGCCGGCTTCCGTCCAATGCATTCTGTTCCGGGACCATACTTTTCAATGGTCGCAGACCAAAGCTCTCTTTTGGGAATGCTGTCAGTTCCAAATTTCTTCTTCTTCTTCTTCTTCTTCTTCTTGTGTGTGTGCTTCTTTTTTTTTCTTTTTTTTTCGGTTTTTCGGCTCCCCCTTCCTCATCCTGCGTAGTATTGCTTCGGCGTTGAAACGATTAGATTTTCAATTTCAGTTTAGGAAACGTGAAAATGCAAACTGGACAATTATTTTAGTTCGTGAGAGTATTAGAGTAACTTATTACTTGATCGATGCCTGCAGGCATACGTGAGAAACTATCGCTGGTGGAGAGCACCATCATCGAAATGGGACTTCAGGATTGCGTGGATACAGTTGTCGGAAACTGGCATTTGCGCGGAATCAGTGGCGGAGAAAAGAGAAGACTAAGCATTGCCCTGGAGATCCTCACCAGGCCTAGTTTGCTTTTCCTGGATGAGCCAACCACCGGACTTGATAGGTTTATAATAAATTCTCATCTTCTAATTCAGGGAACCATTCTTTTTTTATCCCTACTATTTCCTCAAATATGTCTCATTTTTTATGGTATTGTTTGAATTCATCAAAATAGAGTTTTAAAAACAGGATGGAGAGAGAAAGAGTGTCTGATTACGATTGTGGTTGATTGGTGTCGGTGTTTCTGCATTTTTCGTAACTTAGACCTTATGTGGTCTGTCCAGAGAAGGCCGGACTGTGATAGCATCGATTCATCAGCCAAGCTGTGAGGTTTTGAGCTTTTTGATAGATTGTACTTACTTTCTAGTGGGAAGACGGCGTACTTTGGGCAGGCTTCAGAAGCTCACCAGGTAAACTCTTGTCTTAATATATCTTCATTGAGTAGATTATTTTTCACCTTGTTACTTTCCCTTAAATAGCTCACTCAAATAACTCACTATTTTAACTCACTTGATGTGGCATGCCATGTTGGACACTCCACCTCATCCCAACTTATTAATCTTTTTTATTTGGAAAAAATAAGAAATAAAAAGGAAAAGTCAAAACGTGCCCGTTCACTTTCCCCTCCCCTGAACGCGGCTAAACCCATCAAGCGAAGTAATCAAATTTTGGGACATTGATTCGTCTACTCCCATCTTTCCATTTCGAACGCCGATCGGATACATCCCGTTTTTAGACTCTTATTCTATTTCTCTTATTTTCTTCCCAGAAATTATCAACTGTAATCTGGGTGATTTTGCTAATGAGGTTGCGGTGTCGCTCCAGTTGAAGAAGATTCGGTAAGAATCTTAAGTTTTTAAATTTTCATTCTTTCGAATTTTTATTCTTTAGAACCTTTGCTGCCCTATTCTTGATTTTTTTTAAGAACTATGTTTTTTTTTCAGCTTTTTTTTTTGGGTTTTTAGTTTGTACTATATATTGTTTTTTTTAATGGCGGATTGATATGAATGAAAATCTGATTAAATTTTTTAAAATTTATAAACCAGACGATTAAATTCTTAAAAGACAAAATAGAATACAAAAAGATGATGCAGTCATGGGTAATGTAGAACAAGAAAAGATGATTAGAGCCATCGATGGGGAAATTTTCAATTGTTTTTATTAAAGATGCAGATTTTATTATTCTCTTGTATGCAGTATCTTGTAAAAATTGATAATGTTCCTTTAAATCAGTTGTTCTATGTCCTAAGATAATTAGAAGGGAACACCTGCTTGCTCCAAATGGTATCATTGTGGTGTTTGAGTTTTGAAGGAAATGTTTTACATTTTGGATCAATGTTAATCTTCATTGTTTCCATAGGTTGTTTACATTTCGGATCAAGTTCCAGCCTTGGAGTGTGAAATGCTTTAAAAGGATAAAGGAACTAGGGCTTGAAGGTATCAAGCCTCACATTCTCATTTTCAGTGTTGCTGTAACATTGATTTCGTAAATTTCCTTCTTGTATTGAGCTATTTTTTTGCGAAAGATGACTAGTGACAAATCCTATGTGATTGTCTTGTAGATAACTGGGTTCTTATCTGATGCAGGTATGTTCCAACAATTGGTTTCAATATGGAGACTCTGGATTACAAGAATATCAGCTTCATTGTCTGGGATGTCGAGGGCCAAGACAAGACTCGTCCATTGGGGAGGAACTACTTCAAAAATATTCAGGGTCTTATGCTTTTGGTAGGCAGCAATGACAGGGACAGAACTGTTGAAGCTAGAGATGAGCTGTACAGGATGTTAAATGAGGATGAATCGCAAGATGCTTTTTTGCTCTCTTTTTTTCGTTCCACAAACAAACAAGATCTGCCTAATGCAATGATTGCAACAGAAATTACTGAAAGTTGGTCTTCATTCTCTCCAACGACACCATTGATACATTCAGAGCCCTTGTGCTACTTCTAGTAAAGGCTTTTATGAAGGGTTGGGTCCAGCAACATTGGTCGCACGACTTGAATCGAGACACTCGTGCCCTGCTAATGTCTTTTTTTTGGATGTATGGGGAATACACTTATTTTGTGTTATGTGAGAGATTGACGAATGTCTTAGAGATATACATACTTTAAGACATTCATGCTTATGCTTTGTTATCAGATAGTAAGTGAAAAGCTAGTGTGATTTATGTCTTTTTAATTGAAAATGACAGGCAAAAAAAATGAGTTGAAAATTTGTTCTATTCTCTCAAAAGATCCAAAAACATGTGGTGCTCTGTTGGGAGTTACAAACCCTGGTGCGGCAGCTATGTGAGATTGTGCACCTATGGAAAAATCTAGACTTTACGTCGTAGCATCTCCAAGGATATCAAAAAAATTAAATACATAACATTCTTTCTAATAGTTCATAGTTCACTACGTATTGCAGTAAACACAATCAAATTTAATCCTCTTAGAATTGATATGCAGCCTGCTCATTGAAAACTTAAATAACAAAACCACCTCCTTACACTGTTGCAACCAGGGACAAAAAGTCACTAGTAAAAAGCTATTCAGAATAAATAGACATTTTCAACAGAGGTTTACAAAATGAAGAGCTCATAAACATAAGAAAAAAAATCTTACAAAAGTTCTACTCTTGAGTGAATCATAATAGAATTTGTTCTTAATTTCACTTGAAGAAAAGACCATTGCTATCATGCAAATCTATTATTTGTGATCACTTTAGTTGACAAGATGAATCTTCGAATGAACAAGTCTGCGTGGACGACACTTGAGATCTTGTTGCTTGTGAAAGTAGGTCTTGGAATGACATTGTTGCAAAATTCCCTCCAAGCTTCAAATTACAATTAAACAGGAATGAGAAATCGAAGCTCCAATAATATATGAAATGCAAATTATTGAATTTTATTGTCTCGAAATTTTCTTTGTAAAAACAACATTTCAATCTAACCTGTGAGTAGTTTAAGAAACTTGAATCTTCCCGTGTGGAATAACCATTTGACACACACCCACTGGCCAAGTTTGTTGTTTGGGATTCACAAATCAATACATTGGTTGAATCCTTTATACTCAAAAAATACAATCCGTTATATTTCACCAAAAACTTATTCCAATATGTAAACCATTTCGAATAACAATAAAAATGTACCGATTTTTCTTTCGATTGAAGTTCAACATTTGGCCTTGCATCTCTTTTTTTTCTGCTGGAAGAAACCTGCATGAATCAATCAAATCATTCATAGTCATGAAACTTTTAAAATTTTGAACATTGTCAATAAGCAACCGTACGAAGTTGTACATGTATATGAGACCAATAGAGTTAGAAATATGAAACCTTTTTGTTGGCCTTGGTTTGCAATTTTTTTGCAATTTTTTCTACTATGGATTGCTGTCTTTTTGTGGTTGGACGACCTCGAGACTTCACTTTTAGTTGACTGAGAACTTTCTTTGCCTTAAAGTCTCGATATTTCATGTGTTTGCTCACTTTGTTGAGTTTCTGATGACAACTTAGAATCCTCCTCAACAATAGTCAAGAAGTTCTCTTTTGTTTCTTTCAAGACTTTCTTTAGCATAGAGCAAAAAGTATCATTTTCAGACCCAAGTTCTTGTACTTCTTGTACCAAAGGAGTGAGGCTGTGATACCGCTTTCTTTTTTCATCACAACCATAATCATCATAAATTTTTGTGATACTTTGATATCCCCGCTTGATATCTTTACGCCAACGATCCAAAATATATTTGCCTGGAACCTCAGTCACCTTACTTTTAATAAGCACAGATATCACATGCCTACATAAAATTCCCCGAAACTCAAACAAACGACAAGAACACTTCACATCACAATCCTCCTCTATATAATGAACAAAATACAATAATTCTTTTAGAGGTTTTCCATCAGTCCCCAATATTGTTTCCACAACTTCAAAAGTTTGTGTTGTTCCTTCTTGGTTCACCAATAAGGTGTTGCATAACATCAACCCTTTCCATTCAACTTGGAACAATCTGAATAGAGAATTTGTGTAGACACTTTGAAATTGTCTTTCAATGGCATAACCACTTAGAACAGGATAGACAGAGTTAAAAGAGTAAAAATCAGAATCCTTTTCTTTCTCAATCTTTTTCTTCAAACAATTATCATATTGCTCAACAAATTGCCTCAAAGTAGTTTTTGAATTTATGTAACCATCAAAATAAGCATTCATACTTTCACTTCTTTGAGTTGTAGACATTCCCGCCCAAAATTTATCTTTGACAAACACAGGTATCCATCTATGACGCTCATCATACAAAGAGTTCAACCACTCATTATTCTCTAACTCAAAGTCCTCAATCAACTTTTGCCATTTTTCTTCACATTCTTCAATGGTAAGTGAGCTATAAACGATATCTTTAAATCGTTTCTTTATCATCTTGTATTGAGTATAACCACACAACTTTTTTGGTATCTTTTGCATGACATGCCAAAGACATATGCGATGATGAGTACCAGGGAATACCTCTTCAATTGCATTTCACATAGCTTGGCACTGGTTAGTGATTATCGCCTTTGAAGCATGTCCATGCATACAAGCCAACCATGATTTGAACAGCCACTTGAAAGAATTTCCATCCTCATGTGATATCAATCCACAACCTAGCAAAATAGACTCACCATGATGATTTACTCCAACAAACGAAGCAAATAGCATGTTATAATAATTGGTCAAATAAGTAGTGTCAAAGGTAATCACATCAGAAAAATATTCATATGATGCTCTACATCTAGCATCTGACCAAAAAATATTCCGAATTCGAGAATTTTCATCTGGATCAACCACATAGAAAAAGTTGGCATTCCGAGATTGCATATGCGAAAAATAATTACTCAAGGCTTCGGCATCTCCAATCCCTAGTCTTAACCTTCTTGCTTCTGAAACATAATTTCGACATGATCTCTCATCAAATGGCAAATTGTCATGTCCACCATGTTCCACAACCAATGATTGGAAACTCTTGCTCAGGGGTACACCGGCTTGATCATTATATTCCAACTTTCTTTGGTATAATCATCCAAAACCTTATACGATTTAAAACGGTGTGACTTTCCCGGGCTGCACAAATGGTTGTGTTCAAGGTCAACACGGGTAATTACAAAGTTTCCATCACTTTGGACGGCAACATTAATCTTGGCTTTGCAATTTGTTTTGGTTGAAGGCCGAGGATTAAAAATATTTCTACCTTGAGATGTTGCCTTACGACTCTTGGCACACCCAATAACAAAATAATTTTGCTTCCCATCATCTCCTTTTTTTCCGCGTAACTTGCTAACACCAAAACCAATACTTCGAGCATATGATTCATAAAAGTCTCGGACTTCTCCTTCATACGAAAATGACATTCCTGGTTTAGGAACTTCGAATTCATTTGCATTTGTTAGCTCTTCAACGACTTCCTCCACATCACATTCCATCCCACTTACAATTTCTTTGTCTTGTTCCATGAATTGTTAATCCTACATACACATAAATTTTTTCGTTTAATAATATCACGAAAGATCTCAAGTAAATTTTATTTTCTGCTCAATCATATAGATAACGATTCCCCAAAACATTCTTATACATGAACTATTTTATTTAAAAAAAAAATTAATCAGATTTTAAAAACCTTCTGAGAAATTTAATCAGATTTTCATTCCAATCGTCGTGCGAAAATACAATAAACATAACAAACTAAAAGCCCCCAAAAAAACTAAAAAAAACATATTCTGAGAATTCAAACAAGCAGGTGTTCCCTTCTAATTATCTTAGGACATAGAACAACTGATTAAAGGAACACTATCAATTTTTACAAGATATTGCATACAAGATAATAATAAAATCTGCATCTTTAATAAAAACAATTAAAAATTTCCCCATCGATGGCTCTAATCATCTTTTCTTGTTCTACATTACCCATGACTGCATCATCTTTTTTTATTCTATTTTGTCTTTTAAGAATTTAATCGTCCGGTTTATAAATTTTAAAAAATTTAATCAGATTTTCATTCATATCAATCTGCCATTACAAAAAACAATATACAGTACAAACTAAAAACCCAGAAAAAAGGCTGGAAAAAAACATAGTTCTTAGAAAAAATCAAGAATAAGGCAGCAAAGGTTCTAAAGAATAAAAATTCGAAAGAATTAAAATTTAAAAACTGAAGATTCTTACCGAATCTTCTTCAACTGGAGCGACACCGCAACCTCATTAGCAAAATCGCCAAGATTACAATTGATAATTTCTGGGAAGAAAAGAAGAGAAATAGAATAAGTGTTTAAAAACGGAATGTATCCGATCGGCGTTCGAAATGGAAAGATGGGAGTAGACGAATCAAAGTCCCAAAATTTGATCACTTCGCTTGATGGGTTTAGCCGCGTTCAGGGGAGGGGAAAGTGAGCGGGCACGTTTTGACCTTTTCCTTTTATTTCTTATTTTATTATTTTTTCCAAATAAAAAAGATTAATAAGTTGGGATGAGTTGGAGTGTCCAACATGGCATGCCACATCAAGTGAGTTAAAATAGTGAGTTATTTGAGTGAGCTATTTATCATACATATACAACTTTGATCTACTAACATCCAATAAATTGATTCATGCAGTTCTTCGCACAAGCTGGCTTTCCTTGTCCATCTCTCAGGAACCCATCTGATCATTTTCTTAGAAGTATAAATTCCGATTTTGACAAAGTTAAGGCTACTCTCAAGGGATCCATGAAGATGTCGATACTGCTTTTACTCTTTAATTTTCTACTTGAATTCCCTACTAATTCAACAGAAGAGTAAATTGAAAAGCAAGAACTACGATTTCAATTGATGTCAGTCTAATGTTTTTTGGTTCAGTTGTTGGTTAATAACAATGATGCTCGAGAGGAAATAACAACTGTCGAAGTGATTGAAATTCTTGTTGAAAGCTACCGTACTTCTCCATATTGCTATTTCGCAAAACAAAAAGTTGAGGAGCTGTCCAAGATTGTAAGTGTGGGAGGGGGGGGTGGGGACAAGATAGGATTCCGCCTAAATCAGTTACGAAATTAATTAACTCCTAACACTTAAAGTGTTGACTTGATAAACACTGTTTTCGCATAGAAAGGGACTGTTTTAGATTCTAGAGGAAATCGGGCTAGTTTCCTGATGCAGGCATATGCGTTGACCAAGCGATCTTTCATCAACATGTCGCGACATGTCAGTTATTACTGGCTTAGGCTGATTATTTACTCCGTGGTTTCCATCTGTGTTGGCACAATTTATCTTAATGTTGGAACAAGCTACCATTCCATCCAGGTATATATGGATCTTTTCTTCTGATTAATACAAAAATCGTAAGATTTATAAAAGTATATCATAGATATTCGTCTCGCCAGCTTATAAGTGATTGCACATTTTTTTCTTGGCAGGCTAGGGGTGCTTGTATGTCTTTTACTTTTGGCTTCGTCACCTTCATGTCAATTGGTGGACTTCCTTCATTTGTAGAAGATATGAAGGTTTATATAACTTTCAATACTCACTCGATACATGATGTATTTAATTTCCTAACATGGATATCGTATGCGTTGAAAATGATCAGTTAAAAGCTTATAGGTTTTCCGAAGAGAGAGGATGAACGGCCACTATGGCATAACTTCATTTGTCATCAGCAACACGATATCTTTGACGCCGTTCCTGATGTTGATTGCTTTGATTTCGGGGTCTCTTTTCTATTTTATGGTTGGCCTCCATTAAGGATTTTTGCACTTTCTCTACTACATCTTGTGTTTCTATGGATGTGTCACTGTTGTTGAGAGCCTGATGATGGCTATAGCAAGCATTGTGCCCGACTTTCTTATGGGTATCATCATTGGTGCCGGAATTGAGGTATTTACATTATATACATATATATATATATATATAGATATGTATATATGTTGATATGTATATATATACATATATGTGTGTGTATATATATGTACACACACGTTTGTGTACTCCAACATACTAGCTCAATAGATATCACTTTATCATATTTCTTTTCACTTCAATGGATCCCACTAAAATGAGGGAAAACCTTCCTTACAAATCTCCTTGGTGAAAATTGAACGTATGTCTACTTTCAGAAAGCAGAATATCCAAACTATTAAAATGTTATATTTAGTTCCCACATTAGATATTTTGGGTCAGACTTAACTTTTATTTTGTGACGATTCATTATTTGTTGTGGAGATTGTGGTGTAAGGTTTAATGATACTGAACTTATCATTCATGGTATATTTCTGCTGGTATCTGGCTACTTCAGACTCCCAAATTTCATCCCAAAACCAGTGTGGTGATATCCAATGTCTTACATCAGTTTCCATTTTTGGGCTCCTCAGGTAAGTAATCAACCAAGCAGTTTGTTTTTGTAACTTAATTATAATATAATTTCCTTTTATAGAATTTGGAATTGGAATATAATGGGAGCAATATTCTTAACGCAACATTTTTATTGTCAGGGTTTGTACCAAAATGATTTCAAGGGCATGTCTTTTGATAACCAGACTCCTGAGTTGCCGAAAATCTCAGGAGAATACATATTGGAGAATGTTTACTAGATTGATGTGAAAAGGTCGAAATGGGTGAATCTCATCATCATCTTCACTATGATTGTCATCTATCGTGTCTTCTTCTTCTTAATGATCAAGATCAACGACAACCTCTTGCCCTGGGTTCATGGTTACATTGCCAGGAGGAGGATGGCAATCATAACACAACAATATCTGTCCCATAGCGACTCACCTATTCCCCTTTCTCCCTGATATTATTTTGATTGGAACGTCAAAATAATTGTATTTAGAAAAAAAATGAAGATCTATAGTTATTTTATTCATTTGTAGAAAAATTCCACCCCAATTTAAGACTTGTAAGAAAAAAGCACTACTTCGATATGATATATAATTAGGTAATCATTCTTTAGAATTCCAATAAAAATAAAAGTCCTATCACCAACATAAATTAATATTTAGCCTATATACTTCCTCTGTCCGAAAATTATTGTCCAGTTTGAGATTTTACTTGTAGTACAAATTGAACTAGAAATGAAAAGACAAACTGAACAATAATTCTGGGACAGTGGGAATATATGGAAAACAAAACTTAAAGGAAGATTTTCTAGTTATGAAAATGTAAGTGTTTATTTTTTTTCTTGACATTTATAGTTTCGTGATAAGGTGAAATGGAAATTTTTATAATTGAAATCCATTAGAAGGCGAATGAGGAGTTGGTTCAGTAGTAAAACCACATTTGCTCTAAGAGAAGGTCATGAGTTTAATCCCCTATTCCAACAAAAAGTGAGGGGTTGACTCTCACATTGCCTATTGGCACGTCTAGAGGCTTGTTATGGCTAACTCACTAATGAACCCCCTATTTCGCACCCGGATTTGTTACCCCGGGCTTGGCTAGGGTGGTTTACCTCCCATTTTGGATTACAAGCTATTGCAGTGGGTGTAGGTTTACCCATTTCTGGTAGGGTTCCCGGCTTTACCAAAAAAAAAAAAAAATTCCTTTAGAAGTTAGTTCGTATAAAAATAAAGAGTTAGATTGTTTATTCATTTATAAGAAAATATTAATAATGTAGTGAAATAAAAAAGTGAAATATCGTTAAACCTCTATAAATTAATACAGTTGGATCTCAAAAATTTTATTAATTTACGGAGTTATTCATTTATTAATCAATTACTGATTATAATTCATTGATAAAATAAAATTTTATTAATTCAATGAGTTTCTTTTAATTCTGTTAATCAACAAACTGTGAAATTTGATTCTCCCACAAGAAGAAAAGTTGGTTGTAAACATATCTCTATTATTTAAGTTTTTTGATGAAACAAAAAGATGATAATCACAAACATAAAAAAATCATTATGGTTAAATATGAGATAATTTTAAATTTAATTTTTTAGTTTTAGATAAATTCTTAGTTTATATGGTTATGGGGACCAATGTTTACATAGATTATTCTTAAAATTATTATCTTACTGATTAAAAAAAGTTTCTTCAATTTTTTCGTATTGGTTCCGAGCTGGGACCAGTAAAAATTATTATTTAATAGAGATTGTTAATTTATGAAGGATTTATATATATATCTAGCATGTTGGAAGCACGAATGTAATTATAGTTATATATATATATATATTTTTTTTCTAGTTAATAACATGTACTTCATCTTTCAAAGAAATTAAAGTAGTTTCTATGTTATTTCATTTTTTAATTAAAAGGACGAAAATCTTTCTGACATTTACGTCAACATTTTGAAGAATTCATCCTTTTAAGGGTGATCTATTGATGCTAATAGTAATAAATCAACAACTAAGAAGAAGATGAAATCAAATGTCTGATATTCTTCGGCCAAATGTCCATGGAGTCACCATCAAGCAAACGTTTAGCAATGAAGAGATTAGCCGCTTCAGTTGGATGGTATGTATCCCAAAACACATATTTTGATCTGTCTTCACAAACTTCTGATGCTGGGGTACATGGAACTAAGCCCCCAAATCTTCCAGCAAGGTGGCAACAAGCTGAATCGGCATTGTCAAATCCTGTTGATGAAATTCAAGGAATTAGGTTTTAACTTGATTGTTACAAACTGTCAAACACTAAAAATGAAAATAAAGTGCAAGTAAGATACGGCTAAGGACAAAGTGACATAAGAAAGTGGACCTGGTCTGAAACTAGTAAAACAGTGGAGTGTAACAATTTTGTGTTAAAAATGGATACAATTGAGAGTTAATTTTCCACAAAAATTAAAAAGCGGAATTAGATTAGTAGGAGTATTGCGCTTACCGTAGGCACTATAGTTTTGAATAAGATCATACACAATGCGGTAAGCATCTGCATAAACAAAATCTGATTCTTCGAAGCTGGTTGAAAGATTTGAAACAAGAATCCTTAATTGGTTATTGAACATCTGAGCAAGTTGATTCGGAAAAGCAGCGCAACCATCCGCAGTAGACAGATTATACAACTCCCTTTGAGATGGTATGCATCCGACCGGCGCAACGTTGACTACAATAATTTTTCTAGCACCCATATTGTATAGTCTCTGAAAATATGGGTAAGAAATTAGTAACTACAGAGTTAACAGAAAATAGTTTTGTAACAGTTTGTTCTCGCGAAAGAGGAACGGAAGTCATACCATGAGTTGAATTCGGTATCTTGATATCATAGCTGCGACAAAATTCGTTGGAGGTGTAGTTGTCTGCGCGATGTTTGTGGCAACTGGTATTAGATAGTTATTGATGAAGTCATTTGAGCCGATTGTTACTGAGAAAAGAGCAGTAGAAAGCAACGTCATTGCCCTTGATTCACCAAGTGTCTTCATTATGTATTGCCTAGTTTTCGCAAAATTTTCAATCTGGGCATCAAAGCTGATCCTACCAACCTAAGCAAAAGAAGGGAAGAGAAAAAGGAAGTTAAAGGTTAAACTAGTGTGAAAGAGAACAGTCTTAACTTAGTATTAAAACATAGTACTAATAAAAGTATGTTGCAAACAGAAGAAAAGCTTACAAAGTTCATTCCTGTCTCATTCAAAATCCCTGCTGCAGCTGAGGCATAGTTGACCCCCTTCAACACTATCTGACCGGTTGTGTTTGGTGATAAGAAAGGCGGCGTAAATTCGATGAATCCGAGTTCCTCACCTAATATACCAAGACAAATTAATCCACATTATTAGCTAGATGATTACTACATCAGTCTGAACTGATAATGCTTTATTAGTTAGCCATTGTTGAAACTCTAAAACAATTGTTGAATGAAAGCAACAAAAGAGAGCTATCTGATTCTCTGATCAATAAATTCTTAAGGAAAAAAAGGGAAAAAAGATATTAACTTGCCTATAATGTCAGCAATTGTTTTTCCATTCGTGAATCTTCCGGTTGCTCTACCAAGATCAACTCCGTGTGGTGGATAATTAGCCTTTGCGAGAGACACAATATAGTTATTGTTTCCGACGTCAACTATTGAATCTCCAAAAACAAAACTAGCGGGCACCGTGTCTTCGGACAAGCAGGTGATCACAAACAACAAAAGGATGTTTAGGAGTTGAAAACCAACCACCCTTATCACAACCTTCTCCATAGAACAATTTCTATTGTTTTATTAACTGGGAGAATTGGCACAAGTTCGACTGGCTGATGGCTTTCAAACTACAGAGAAATATGGATGTCATATGTATTGATTAATGGCCATTTTTCAACGGCAAAGGAGATCTGTTATTGGATTTGCGACAATGAATAAACTACTTGTTCGAATGTTTTACTTCTGACATCAAGGGTGTGGCTGAATTTTATTTTTTTTTTCCATACTGCGCACGGTGTCATAAGTGCATTGCACTCATACTAATCCGCACTGAGCCGGATCGATCGCCTTTCGGAGACATTGCCGTTTCCATTCACGAGACTAGAACCCGAGACTTCGCTTAAGGAAATCAAAACACCTTACTACTTTGGTGTGGCTGAATGTTAACTATTACTTAATCATTAAATGCATAAACATTTTAAAATAAAGCGTAAGTATGGACGGTTATGGATCATTTCCTGTTAAAATTTTCTACACAAATCATGATCCCAAAAATAAAACATTAAAATGAAAAATAAAAACTAGTGAAAAATAAATAATACTCAATTAATATACCGGCAGGACAAATCTACATTCCAGTTTAGAAGTTCGGCTGGCAAAATCCGAATGATCGGAAGATTTATTAGTTGGTAAACGTCGCACATTGTTACTCAATTATATCCATCTCTCCTAAAGATTTTCTTCAATTTGTTTAAGAAAACTCATTCTGGGTGCCTTTTTTTTTTATTATTAAGGTTGTGATCATTTTCCTATCAACATGCGTTGTTAAGGCTCAAATTATTGCATTGCATGTGAAAGAGATATTGTATGGGACTCCACACCACCCCCCCACCCAAAAAAAAAAAACCCCTTCTTTGTTAACCATAAACAGCTCACCGCCCTGTTGTTCAAAATCAAGTGTGCACATTTTACATTTGAGTAAGTCAAACTATAGCCTCTTATGTTTCTTTACAGATTAATTAATTACTCCCTCAATTGAAATATCATACTCCCTCAATTACCAGAAGAACTCTTATGCTCTACTGTAATTGTAAACAGGTCCTTTGGACCGACCCCTTTCGTTAATGTCATTACGTGGGGAGAAAGAGAAAAGGAAAAAAAAAAAAATTCTTTCCAAGCATATTACATATGTACCTCAGAACAGAAATGTTGTAAGCCTGATTTGTCATTCGCGTGGCTCTCAAAATAAGATTTAGAGTCTTTATTTCCGGCAGAAGCCATGACCTGTCTAATGGCGTTTAGCGAAAGCCTCACAATTTGGTCTTAATCGGGTAAAAGTTCACACGGCTTGTGAACTGTTATCTACTAACCTACTGGCTATACCTGTGCTGATGAAAGCACGAGAAATTATTGTGTTATTATTAGTCTTGATTTCATCTTTTGAATCCTGTCAAATAATCAAAATTAGTAGATCTAATGTTAGCGATTTACATAATATGACTTATAATTCCTGTTGATGTAATAGCATAGGTACTTTTAACTAATATCAGGTACTATCTTAAAAAAAAAAAACAATTGTACCATGTCATCAGTCTCATCTGCTAGCTCTACCCTTTGCCAGAAAATCAGACGCCAGTTAGAATAACGGCGCTATTCTCCAGGCTCGAAGAATACTATCCAGCTCCATTAGACCAATCAATTTCATTCGATCATTGCTAAAGTGATATCACAACTCATTAATGTAAGCTTGAACTCAATCATTTCATCCAAAACAAATAAAATAAAATTTTATTCTTGTTATTATCATTATTATTGTTATTCATCTCAAGGAATAGTTACTTACTTGAGAGGGTCTGCTCGGTGGAATATGAGAAAAGTATCTTTCTCTTTATTATCTGTTTTGGCTATGAAAGTAATTATTTTTCTAGCATCTGAATCGTCTAAATCCAAAATGAATCTTTGAGTCACATGCAGTACTAAGCGCGGTGCCCGTATGCCACTGTTTGTACGTCGATCCTCCTTGTACTACCTCTATCCTATAATTATTGTGCAGTTTGAGTTTTCGTTTCTAGTTCAAATTATACTAAAACTGAAATCTCAAAATGGATAATAAGTTTGGGACAAAGGGAGTATTAGTTAACTACTAAAGAAGGAAGCTTTTTTGTCTGTGAATATATACAATGTTCTTTCGTATTAATGAATAGTCCACGTCATAGTTTGCATGTATAGTTTCTAATACAAAAACTTAATAATGATAATCCAAGTTTTATTAATTTTTCTTAAGAAGTTAACCAACACTAATTAATTGTAAACCGGATCAACGTATTTTGGTTTTCGATTAAAATCGGATTTGTAAAATGCAACCTCTATAGTTCGGTCTACTCCCATTCATTTATTTATAATTTTTTTTTTAATTTTTTTATTTTGGCCAAAAACTGGTGTTGCCTTTGAAAAATTCATAGTGTTATTTCAATAGAGTACAATTGTTTTAAAGTCATCAGATTTCATGAATTTCTTTTCCCGAAAAATTATTCAGTCATTATATTCTTTTTAGTTGGGATTCGTTATTTGTTCAATTTCTTGCATGTATAAATAGTCTATTACTACTCTTCATAAGTCCACGAAAATAAATTTTCTTTCAAATCTACCACTATAGTCTATTATTACTTATTCCGTTTCAAAATGACTGTCATATTTAATGCACCTGTACATTTAACTAAAAAATATTTTGGAACTAAAGGAGCACTTCTCAATAGCACGGGATCCTAGCTTTGTGCCACTTTTTGTGACACTCTCTGTTACACCATTTAATAGATTTGTATAAATTTTATGATTTCTGTTAATATTTATTTCATTCACAATAATTTTTGTAGTTATATATTTTAGAATGAGGGGTTTACATTTTCGAGGTTAGTATCTATTTATTCAAGTTTTAGAGTTAAAAATTAAATAAAAATAGTCAAATTTTATGAAAAATAAAAATATTAATATAAAAATATAATTATAATATGAAAAAAAATATCTACATTTAAGAATGTTTGCCATTTTTTACCCAACGAAAAGAAAAAGCCATTAGGCCAACGTGAATTTTGGCAAACCGTAAATGGGAAACTCTTCTCCTTAAACTTTGACTACCAGACTAGCCTAAGGCCCTAAGTGGTTCATTATTTGATTGAATACATTAAAATTTTCGACATCGTTGATGTTGGCCACTTGGCATGTTGCTCTACTGTGATCTCATGTGGGTTAAAGAGAATCAAATCGCTCTTGCCGCTCAAAACTCTGGATCCATCGTGCAAGATTTGGAGCTGATTTTTGTGGTTAATTATTAATGCTACCTGTATAGTCCTGCATAGCTTACATTTTCATTACTACTACTACCTATTAGCTAGCCAGACAAAAAAAAAAACAAAAGCTAGCCAGACAAACTGTATTTCTAAGTATATTTTATATATTCTGCTGCAACCTGTTTCCGATGCTTCCAGGTTATCAATGCACGTGAATTGGGTAGCTCTCGCGAGCTGACATTGCCTTTGTCCTCTCCTGTTCTAAAGTAAGAATCGTATTTTGTTATATACCATTCCTATCTTAGTTCAAGACACAATAATTATTTATAATTATATTTTCTTTTTTTTTTCTAGTTAATAACATGTACTTCATCTTTCAAAGAAATTAAAGTAGTTTCTATATTATTTCATTTTTTAATTAAAAGGACGAAAATCTTTCTGACATTTACGTCAACATTTTGAAGAATTCAGATCATCCTTCTAAGGGAGATCTATTGATGCTAATAGTAATAAATCAACAACTCAGAAGAAGATGAATTAGGAACAAAAAAATAATTTGAACAACATTTTGAAGAATTTTTAGTATAATTTGAACAAAAAATAAACAATCCAAATTAGACATTGAATTAGGAACGAAGGAGGGAGTATTATATATGTGTGCAAGTTGGTCGTTGACTATCAGGAACTATATGCAGTACGTTGAGAGTCTCTATCCAGTATACCCGGGGGTACCATACTCCCCCTCCTATTTTTTACACTACTAGTTCTTACTACACTTTTTTCCACTTTTCTAAATAATATCCTATAATTTACATGTTTAGTCCCTTTGATTTTTTTTTCTCTCTCCTTTAAAAAACATCTCTAATCTTTAAACGACCATATCTCTCAATCCGTGAAGAATTAGAAAACGTGTTACACATGAATTTTATTATATTCGTCGAGATCTATCCAACAAGATCTATGTCGAATATTTTTTCCGAGTTTAAAAATGACTAAATTTCGATGGGCAGAATAAGATGGATATCTAGTTTAGAAAGATGGATAACCCAATTCATTTTAAATTGGTTATCCATTGTATTTATGTTGATTATCCAACCAGTTTGAACTGGTTATCCAACTTGTTTGTACTGGATATCCACCCATTTGGTTTGTATGCCTATCAAACTTGTTTGTAATGGATATCTCACTTGTTTGTACAAGATATCCATTTCGTTTGTAATGGATATCCAACTCGCTTGTACTGGATATCCATCCATTTGGTTTATATGCTTATCCAACTTGTTTTGTAGTTGTAATCCAATGGGTTTGTATGCATATCCAATTTGTTTGTGCTGGATATCCAACTCGCTTGTACTGGATATCCAACTTATTTGTACTGGATATCCATCCATTTGGTTTGTATGCCTATCCAACTTTTTTGTACTGGATATCCATCCATTTGGTTTGTATGTCTATCTAACTTGTTTCTATGCACTGGATATTTATCCAACTTGTTTGCAGTGGATATCCATCCATTTGGTTTGTATGCCTATCCAACTTGTTTGTAATGGATATCCCGCTTGTTTGTACTGGATATCCATTTGGTTTGTACTGGATATCCAACTCGTTTCTACTGGATATCCATCCATTTGGTTTCTCTTTTTATTATTAATTTTTTGAAAAAAAGAAATGGTTGTCCAACGCGTTCGTATTGATTATCCAACTGTTCTGTATAAATTATCCGACCATTTTTTTTCTCTACTCTTTGCGAAAATCTTTGTCTAGTTTTTTTGTACTGACTATCCAACCGTTTTGTATGCCTTATCCAATCGTTTTCACTGATTATCCAAACATAATTTCTCTTATCTTTTTTCTTCCTTTGAGAAAAAAACATGTCCAATGTGTTCATACTGATTATCCATCCGACTTCTCGGTGATGGATGGTTATCTGACTTTTTTTTTGCCTTGCTCTTTTAATGCAAATAATTG